ATATATATATATATATATATATATATATATATATATATATATATAGTAAATACTATAAATATATGTACGTATATAAGTATAGCTATCTCTGTTGGAAGAGTATCTTCTAGTAATATTTAATATACAATATATAATATAATCGTTAACTATATTTTTTGTATACTTTGGTTAATCTATTCGTATTTCGTTTTCTTTAACCCTTCTCCTGAGTATAGTAGCTAGTACCGGGCCTCTTTCCGTCTCCGTCTCACTTCTAAATTCCCTCTACTCCCTCAGCACATCGACACTAAATAAACGCGTTAAAATCTACAGCCCGGTACTGCCCTTCCACGAGCCTAATATCACGGTGGTCTTTACTACCCATCAGATCGGCTGATTAATGGCCTTACCCTCCAGTGCTTTAAAAAACTTTTTTTACTATATTATATTTATTTACGTTATTATTACACACATCTACCGTATATTTTCTTTTCTTTTCTTTTCTTTATTATTATTTCACTGTAATCCACCGCAGTTGTCACATTTATAACCAATATAACACAACACGCAAGTTTATTTTAATATTACTTAATTATCAATAACTATGATTACATATATTAATATATTATATCATTTATTATTTTGGATAAATATTTTTTCAACAACACCGTAGACTTGCGGCTCCACGGTGCTGCCTCTCCCACGGCAACCGCCTATCGCAAGATGGCGTCTGACATTACTCTTTCCCTTTCCTCAATTCATTATCTTTCTCTGTCTATCGCGGGATACTTTAATCTCTCTTTTGATTTTAGTACATACGCATTACACCTTACACATACAATAAACTTTTACTGTACATATACGTATTATCTGCACTATATTTTCCCTAGAAACCCTCAACAGAACTTCAACTTCTAGTTACTTTTTACTTTTGGATTTGTTCGTCACTGGGGCGATAGATCGCGCAGGCTCACTCTCCGCTTCAGTTTTCTGTGTTTGTAATAACTGTTTTTGATTGGTTACTGGAGCAGGGATGAAGGGATACTAGCTGCGCAGCGTACGGTTACTTAATAGGCGCCTTTTGTCCATCGTTTCCGGTTCAATTTGAATTTCATAGAATTTTTCTTAAAAAATAAATTATTAAAAGAAAACAATTGCAAAATTAAAATGTTTTTTTTTTTTAATTTATAAAAAATGATTAAATTATGTGACGCATTTTTTTTAATTTGTTCAGTTTTTCATCTCTAAAAAAAATGGTAATCTACGAATTTCAATGAAAAACGAGATAAATGTTTTTTTTTTTTTTTTTTTTCTTACTTTAAAGTTTTTTCGTTGTATTCTTCGTTGCGGCTAAGAATACAACAAAAAAAAACTTCTATAAGTGGAGTTTTCAATTCTTTGAGGTCAAAAAACGATAAAGCACTCGTTCCCATGTCTTGGAAATTATTAAAATTTCCAATTGTAAAAATTAAAAAAATTCTATAATCAGATGAAATTTTAAATAAATATTTTTTTAGTAATAACAAAATAAAATTTAAAAAAATCATCTATTGATTTTAGAATCATGAAATCAAGTTCGTAATTTTTTACGATTTGAATTTAAAATGAAACTAAAAATTAGCAGATACCTGACGATTTTTGGATACTATTTTAAAAATTACATTTTTATTTTATTTTAATATTTTTTATTATAAATCATCGAATTTGAAGACGTTAAACAATTTTGAAACTTTTTTTAAACTATTAAATTTCATAAAGAAAATTAAAGAAAAGTTTCACAGGTCGAAATTTAAATAAAATTTATGAATGTATTTTAAAAAAAAAAAATTTCTTAGGAATGTTTGATTTTTTTTTCATTCCGAGTGAATTTTTGAAACAATTTTCTTTTTACTTTGTTTTTACAGCAGATAAATTAGAAAAAAAATACAGTTAAATTTCAAAGAAATCTACGAGAAAACGTGAATTAAAAATTTTTTTTTTACGATTAAGTACTTACATACTTAATTACTATTTTCTAAAGAATAAATATTTTCGAATTGACCGCAACATTGCGATTATTTGAATAATTAAAAATAAAAATATTCAAATGATATTTATAATGTATTAGATTTAAACTATCGATAGCTAATTCTAAAAGCAATTTTCACATAATTTGAAAATATCCATTCGATTATAAATACTTGCTCAAATAATTTATTTAAACGAAGGGAAGCAAACGGGGGCGTCAAGGGAATAATGACCTTTTGTGGACTGAACTATGATGATTCATCTTTTATTTCTTTCTTTGATGTGAATGAAACAAATTTTCAGTTCCTGTGAGAAAAATTTGTTCTCAATGTTGGACGAAGCAGAGTAGTTTTGAATAAAATAAAAAAATCGAAATACTAATTTTATATGACATAAAGTCGTTTGTATACGAAAAAAAAGGTTAAATCACATGAGATTAGATTAGATTAGAAAAGATGATAATCAGAAAAAAAAATTTTCTGTGTATTCAAATTGTCCTCAATGTTAGTCTCTAAATTGTCAATTTAAATTGGAAAGAAAAATTTTAGTAAAATGTCAATTTTTCGGGCAAAAAATTGTCAAAAAAAACAGTAGGCATTTTCTAAAATTTTCTATTCAAAATTATTCGATTGTTAAAACAATAAAAAAATGAAAAATATTCAATTGTCACAAAAACTAAACTATAAAAATTCCAAGCATCAATATCAAAATGTCAACAATTATATTCTTTGAGTTTATAAATAGATTTTACTTGTAAAAATTCTAATTTAATCAATTAAAACTAATTAAATCATGTATTGTTAATTTAAATGCGTCAAAAAATAGAATATTTTTCATTATTAAAATTTATCAGCAATCCAATTTTCCATTTTTTTATGTCCAAAAATAATTGGATACCTCTTTACTCAACAATTACCAAAATAAGCTTAAAGAAAAAGAAAAATTTGATTCAATAATAATTTTTAGAAAAACAATTTTGACAAAAAAAGAAATTCTTCAAATTGCGATAAATTATTTTAAAAAATTAGGAAAACGGTTGATCCTGAAGGCCATCCCTGCAACTTCTTGCTAATTCAATACCTAAGCGCTTAAAATTGCACTTATGGCGTTTTTGAGCTCTCCAAGCTCAAAGAGTTAGCTGTTCTATGCTTTTGAGCTCTTCGAGCTCAAAAGCCTGATAGTAGTTTAATAAAACACTATTCTTAAAATTTTCAAACTGCAATTACTTTTGAATGAATAAACCGATTTTCACGCGGTTGGCAACATTGGAAGCAGTTTTTGAAATCCTATGATTTACTTTTAAACACAAATTGATCAGACCTAAAATTTTGGAGAAAATTGAAAAATTCACTTTTTCCGAATTTGTTCGACAACGATAACTCACGAACCAATCAACCGATTTCGACGTTCTTGGATAAGATCGACGTAATTTTTTTAGCTCGTATAGTTATATCATTATATCAAAAACGATCCGAAAAGAAATGTCGAAGTTATGTAAAAAAAAAAACACTTTTTTTTTTTAAATTTTTCGATCACAATATCTCTCGAACGAATCAACCGATTTTGACCGGATGAGCGGTGATCGTCGTGGTTTTTCAAGATTAAGAGCTGATTAGTTTTAGATCGATAAAGCCGTTCAAAAGTTATTCCAAAAAAACCACACTAAAAAAAATTTTTTCTCTTAGTTTTTTTGAGATCTCTCGAAATCTATCGGTCCGAATCGGTTCAAATTTAATTGTTTGGGCATTTCCGCTGAAATTTCCGAATTTGGCCGGAAGTGCTCAAACAAAGCGGCTGTTAAAAAATTCTATGAAAATCAAATAAATCGTCTCACCCCAAAATAACTCAGGAAATGCCCAAACATAGCTCCTGTTAAAAGCGGAACTCAAAATTCCAATTTTAAAAAGTTCTTCCCGGAAATTTAATTTCGGCCCACCCTAATACACATATATACATACAGACATAGTGACAAAATCGCGGGGGTAGTCAGGGAAGCTTCCTGTGACCTTAAAACGTCGCGATCTGATGGAAACTCGATTTTTGCAAAACGGGGTAAAACCAATAACTTTTTCGATTTTCTTAAAAAACTTCAAAGGTTGAATATTAAAAAATTCAAAATCCGCTTTAAAAACTATTAGAATTCTCCGAAGTTACAGAAGCTTATTCAGTTATGAAACCTCTAAATAATTCAAATTGTTCCAACCATTGAGATAATTTTTACCGTAAAAATTTGCAAATATCAATATTTTCTTCAATTAATAATAATAATAATAATAATAATAAAAATAAATCAATTAGATAGATATATTCGTCCTCGTAGAGACCGTGAAGCAGCATTTGGTATTATTTTTCTATAAGCAGATTATCATTTCAATAGTCAATAAATAAGGCTTCATTCGTTTTTAAAAATAAAAATAGAATCCAAATACCACACTTATTTCTTATCCACCTGATTAACTTTACACTTTGGGCAAATATCTTGTTCTATTTTGTATCCTGCAATTAATAAAAAACAATTTTTTTATTACAACTCTTCTATTCTTATCAAAGTCTAGCTCGAATACCTTTACTTAAATCGTGCAATACACAATCACCAATTAATTTGAACAATGTTGTTGTAAATATAGTATCTTGGTCATTGTAAAATTGGGTAATCATTTGCAGTCCTTGTGAAAGAGAAATTAATTGCCTGCACAATAAAATGTAATCAAAATACTGTCGTTTTATTTTTCATTTTTCATACCTACAGTCGCATCATTTTTGGTAACTCCATGTCCAAATTTTGACGACTGCATTGAAAGATATTTAAAATAGACTCGTATTGCTGAAGTAGTTTCTTCATTTGGGAAGAATTTAACTTCGACTTTGAAAGTAAACTTTTGAAGTTTTTCGCCGCAATTATCATATCTTCTCTTTTTAGTAGATGATTCTTCACCATTGTTTGAAATTGTTCGGTAACTGTCATGTCTATCGAACAAATTTCGATTATTTCTTTCAACTGTCGTAACTGTTTTTCCTTGTGTGTTTCTGCCTGGATTAAAAAAATAAAAAAATGATAATAGACCGAAATAAAGTTACTTTTACTTAAAAAAGCTGTTTAATAAGTAACAATACTTGATGAAGATGATAACTAAAATTCGTAACTTCAGTAAAATTAGATTCTTCAGAAGATGAAGAAGAAAGCTGATGACCTAAATTGAAAATTCTACTGGCAGATAAATGTAACATTTGAAGCGACTGTAGATGATGTAGTAAAGCTTCAAGTATGCTTATTGCTAAATCCAAATGTTGAATCAATGCCATTAGCTTATCGTTTGCAAGTGACTCATCAACTTGGCTTGCAATAAGCTGCAACTCTAAGGACTCTTGAAGTCTTTTAGCTTCACCACTAAGATTATTCCGACTTAAATTTTGTACTAGTGGCTTTACTTTTAATTTACTTTTTTTAATCTTCTTCTCGTTACAGCACATGCAGCAACCAGCTGTTATTTGTTGATGCTGTTCGAAGGATTTTGTCATTGGTGATGTTGATTGCGAGTGCCGTACTGATGAAGATTCGTTTTCCGACGTCAATGGCAGATGTAAGTGACGGTGTAAAACGGGCTCGCTCCAACGTAGATTTTTCTTGTCTTGCGTCCGTGACATTCTAATCTATAATTTCAATTAATTTTCAGGTTATGAATTGTGAAAGAAGAAATGATACTGAAACTAGCAAGTATCTGATTTCAAGCAAGAATTTGATTGAAAAAATTTTTTTCTATCTAATTTCAAACTATCAAAATTAAAATTGTTGAAATAAATTAAATTTACAAAAATATCTTATAAATAATTAAGGTATTACATTTGATAGTTAATAAGATTACTTACAATATCAAACTCCTGAAAAATGTCGTGAGGTAAATTTAACAATATTTATAAAATAATATATAATATGAAAATAGATAAAATATATTTATACAAACAATCATCTATTTATTGTTAATTTATAATATAAATTGAATAAAAGGCAATAGAATTAATGATAGACACATTATGAATTATTAATGCAATAATATTTTTTTTTAGATTATGGTTATGAAGATATGACTTATGGCGCTTTCAAGTAAAATTAAACAACGTGACATTAAAATGACAAATGACATAACAATAAATCGATCCATTGATACACTACATTACAACAGTATTTATATTAAATGATATATAATAATTAATTTAATTATTTTTTTTTTTTTTTTTTTTTTTAAAGAAGATATAAATTAATTTCTTAAATGTCAAAGCGACTAGATGTAGCACCGCGAAATCAAATAAAATTATAATACATAGAATGTAGTGTACCAATAGATACTATTAACTATAAACAATTATTTTATTTTCATTTTTAACTTAAGAAAAAAAATTTCAAATAAAAAAAAAATGAAAAACACAATCTTTTATCTGTACTTTCGGTCTTCACAAATCAATAGATTATAATTGGACACACAGTTATGTCGAAGCATTGTAAGTATTACAATCTATAATTTCTTTTCTTTAAAGTCTATTCACTATTTTAGTATTTTTTTTTTTTATTACTACAATTAATTGCAACAGATCAATTTGTTATAGAGTATTCTTCAATGATTATAATTAAAATTTTTTTGTTGGACCGCTATTTTTATAATTCATGTTTTCTTTTTATAAATATGTATAGCGACAATGTCATATTTAAATAATAACTTCATTGTCGGAAGCTCAATTAGTCATATATTTACTTAATTCCTTTTCATTCATACAGAATGAAGAAAAAATTCCTACTTACACTTTACTTTAATATCGAATTGTATAGTACTTTAGATTGAGCTAAAATTTATTCGCTCCGAGTTCAACTCGTTAATATTTTCTGTGTCTGTGATCGGTCATAAATTTCCGTTTTTTTCGGCTGAAATCGCGTCTTAAAGAAAATCATATGCAATTTATTGAGAGTGAAGCCCCAAAAATCGCCACCTCTGGCGCTAGTTCTATTGCCCTCGGAGCAGATAGTAATTGAAGTACATTTTAGAGCGATAATTATTTTAATGTGTATATGAAAAATATCTATTTTATTAAAACGATTTAATTTTAAAATCTCATTTATATAATACAAGAATTCGCCATAAAAAACTTAATTTTATAAAAAAAATTTAATTTTTTCATTTAACTTTCATTAAGTATTAGTACAATTAATTAATTTTTTTTTTTACTTCTGAAAACTATACAAGATTTTATATAAATGATGTGGTAGAGAATTAACATTATAATCAATAATAATTAATAAAATTAATGTTTTGAAAATTTTAACTATACAAAAACAACATTAATAATTTTAATATTTGTTTTTCATAAAATATTTTTTACTTTTTTTTAATAAATGAATACATTGTATATTTGTAATTTTATTTATTACTTTATAAATTGGACCATTATTATTTATAATTTAACTGCACAATCATTGAAAAGGCAATTCAGATACGTTTTTTTTTGTTTTTTAATTTGAAATAATTTAATTCGACAGTATTACTTAAGTGTTATTGGCAATCAACAAATTTTTTTAAAATTACTTAATCGCAATCTTGGCCTCAAAGATATTTTATAAAATAGTCCTAAAACTCATAATTCATTATTCTATTTACAATCTCATAAAATAATATTTTATTTAATATGTAAGTATTAATTACATATATTTTAATTTAATAATATTTTGGCTGTTTGAAAAAGAATCTCATATCTAATTTAGAGACACACTAGGGGAAATCACCCGATTGATCATCAACTTTTCATTAAATAAAAATTATAAAACAAATAAACAAACAAAAGTTATAATTATCATCAGACAAAAACAGTAGCTTAAAAAAAATTAATAATAATAATAATAATAATAAACAAAAAATAATACTTTTATAAAAATTAATTAAACTCATTGCTAATTGCTATTACATACAGTCATAAATTAATAAGCTATTTCCCCGCGTGTTAATTTATTCCAATTGACAATTAGTTATGAAAGACGTATTATAAATATTATTCGTTCGCTCGCTCTTTCATACAACTCCATTATAATTTTACTGATTTTTTTTTGTTCTTTATATCAATTTGATTTATAATAATTAATTAATTAATAATATTAAATAAAAATCAAATACACCAAAAATTTCATTTGATTATCGGTGATGTATATTTGTATATAAATATTTATTTTATTGTATTGTATAAGAGGATTATGTGAAAATTATTTTCATATAACCAGTGATTGGCACAGATATTCGGCTGGATTTTTAAGGCACTTTGCGACCGATTAATCGTTAACATGATCCGCAGTGAGCAGCCTCCAGCATTTAGTCCTCTCTTTTAATTTATATATATTAATATTTTTATTTTTAAATATAAATTTTTAAGTTGTTCGCTTTTAATTCTCGTTATAACTAATGATTTTTTAATTACTTTTTTTTTTTTTTTTTTCGGATTCTTTTCAATTATACAACGATACAATCTCTGTTCGTGCAGTTTTCGATTGTTTTTGAATTTACAATTTAAATATTTTTATTTTTTACAAATTATAATATCTTATTATTAAAGACGCTGGTTGTGAGCAGTGGAGTGTACGTCGCAAATTGAGCTTTAGGCTCACAGTGGCTTCGTGAAGTTTGCTGGAAACATTCCTTTTTCATTAGTGCCTTCTTTAATACCCATTAGCCATCCTTCCTCCTAAACAAAAGTAAAAAAAAAAAATGTAATTATAGTTGAGTCTCTAGACTAATTATGTATATATATATAGATTAATTAAATGTAAAATTACTTTAAAGAAAAATGCAGAAATTGATTGAATTTATTCAAAAATTTTTTTAATTTATTCTAACTCACTAAATAATTTATCGAAAATTATTTAAAAGCTGAAATAATAGCTATTTGGATTTTAATTTTTTATAAAAATTTTTTCTTCCAAAAAAATATTATTATTATTATTATTATTATTATTGTGAAACTTTGTAAAATTCCTCGAACAGAAAATTGAAAAATTGTTTTTTACTGACAATAATTCTCGGAAAACTAAGTTATTAAGTTATAAGTTAAAATAAAAGGTTTAATTATTTATACTTAATTTTGTTTTCAAATGTATTTAATTATCTACGATATTAATAACAATCTTATATGAGTATCAAACTCTGAAAGTATTTTGATAGATAAATACTATTTTAAAAAATAAATTTTTTTCTTTTATTCAAGAAAAATTGACTTTCTAAATAAATGAAGATTAAAAAAAAATCAACAGTCTTAGATATTGACGATAAATTTAACGATTACTAATTTTAAAGTAATCGATTTCATAGATTAGTACAGTATTATTTCATTACTAATTAGATTAATTGACTTTATGCGTTCAAATTAATTATTAAATTTGAGGAACTACTATTGAAAAACATGAATTGAATTGGTCAGAAGATGAATTACACTAATGTTAACAACATAATGTTAAGAATATTAATTCTGAGTATAATGAAATATTGTAATCTTAGAAAATTATCATATTGTGTCATTAATTGGTGCTTTTACTATATTGAAAATTATTTGAACTTTGGCACAAACAACATACACAAAAATATTTTTTGGTCAAAAAAATTTATAAAAAAAGACATAAAATTTTATATTTCATCTTTTTTTTTTTTTAATTTCTCTGTGTAATTTGAAATAGAAAATTTGTATAAAATTACTTGTAAGCAGAATTATTAAAATTTCTAACTTTTCTAGTAAATTTATTTAGGTGAAAGTCATCTGTAATTTCAACTTGTTTTTATCAACATGAAAAAATTCTTAACATAATAATTAGATATATCATATTTTAAAAACTCAAATTAGTGATACAGTTAAATTAGTCAAACAGTTGACTGGTTAATTGGCCTAATAAAAAATTCAATAGCTTACCACTTTTGAAGTAACATTTTTTATCGTATTATCTAGGATTTATCATATTTTATATTTAATAAAATGATTATTTACATCGTTAATTAATAGTTTTTATAAAAATAATTTTTGTAATATTAAAAAAAAAATTATAGCTTACGTTAAAACCGATTCGTTTCAAATTTAAAAGCTTTTATACAAATTTAAAAATCGTTTTTGTTCTACTCTGGACAATTAAATTCAGTGACAAAAATTTCGAATACAACTAAAAAGTATTTTTGTTTTAAACTGACCTACAGATTAAAACTCTCAACTAGTAATCCTGATGTAGTTTGATTCGCTCGAAAGAGTTTTTTTTTTTTTTTTTTTTAAAGACATCGTACATGATGCGATAATAATACGTACTTGTATGATAAAAATCTTATAGAAAACATCTTATATAATTTAAATGAAAGTCTTTTATTGCCAAATACATAAATTTGACTTTATAAATAAATATACTCCAAAAAATATAAAATTACTTAATTGAAAAAAACGTTAATCATAAAGTAAATGATTGAAAATGAGAAAAGGATTCCTCACGGGGTGAGAAACAAGATGGTAATTACTCGTATGTTTTTGTCGATATTTTACTATAAAGCCATTCAAAGCACACCCCTTAACGGTATGAAAGTTGCATTACTTCTTCCCCAGTAAGGGCCCATCTCCCCGAGGCTGTTGAGTTCAATTCGTTAGAGTACTTCATTTACTCGTAATTGAAGACGTCAATCGCATCGTCGAGCTTTTACAGGTTTCCAACTATGACTTGTTGGACCGCCTTGAGTCTCCATTGCGGTAGTATTTGAAATATTGAAAGTTTAATACTTTAAATATTTTTTAGTTTTTTTTGTTTAATCAGGGCTTATTTTCGTCGCTATGAAATATTAGTTACATTTATAAACTGCGAGACTCATGGCAAAAATAAAGTTATTGATAGAATAATTAAATTGAAAGGTATATTTCGACATAATTAATAGTTAAAAAAATTATATCAAATAATAAATTCTTAAATTATCTGTGAAAAATCACAATTAATTTTTAATCAAACCACCGTTAGTTCTATTACACGGATTAATATAACCCGTCTACTAAAAACTGGCAGAAATTGAAATTCTTAATAAAATCATCATTCGGTAAATGATTTATAGATTAAATTAAAGAGGCAATTTTATCAGCCTTAAGATAAATTTTCAAGAAATAAGCTATCTTATTTCAATTAAATGTTCTTTAGAAGTAAAAAGACAGAAAATGAAATTTTCACTATCTTCAGAAACATTCAAATGGCTATTATTTCTAAACTTATTGACCGACTTAGCTCATCTTTGAACTCATTTGAGGTAATCGTCTGAGAAACATGTGTACTAAATTTCATTAAGATCCGTTAATAACTATAAGTACAATCGCGGCAACATGCCCTGGGCTGTCCCTTTATTTACCAACTAGCTGTTACTCGCCCGCTCCGCTAGGCGCTTTATAGAATTGCATTTTTAGATCTCTAGACTTGAAATTTAATTAGAGTATTGTTTTGACTTGCACAGATTCCCAATTCTATCGAATTGACATGCACCTTTTATCCATGTAATTATTCTAGCTAATATTCATTGTAACTCTCAATGTACAATCATTATAACATTCCCGTGTCTTTCTAACAAAAATGAATAATAATTGATATGAAAAAAAAATTTTTAATGAGCATTGAGAAAGTTTCAGTTAAAGAAATTGCAGGTCTCATAAATGAAGAAATCTGCCTAGTATGTAAACATAACCAATAGAATTAAAAAATTTATTTTAAACAATTAAATGACAATCGAATAGAATAAATTTAGTTACAATAAAAATTTATTATTTCTAAGTCAAAAAAATATAGGTTCCGGATAAGTAATCACTATACCATATCATATACTAAAACCTTCTCCGAAACACGCTGCGTCTTATGGTATAAGTATTATTCCGATCGGTTCAATACTTTCGCAGTATAACCGGACAAAAAAACCGACTCTCCATTTATTAGTATAGATTATCAAGTTATGATTAAAAACGCAATTTTAATACCCTAAATTGATTAATTTTCCGAAAATTTTTAGTTAAATGTCAACAATCCAAAAAAAGTTCCACTTGCATCGTGATTTCATAAAACCACACAATAATTTTTTTTAATATTACAAAAATTATTTTTTTAAAAACTATCAATTAACGATGTAAATATAAATATTCTATTAAATAAAATATGATAAATACTGGATGATACGATAAAAATTGTTACTTCACAAGTGGTAAGCTATTGAATGTTCTATTAAGGGGGAACACCACTGTGACGATCGAAAAAAAAGAGGTGATTTTCAGGAATTTTTTGACAGGGAAAATAAAGGAATTTGGGGATCGGATTTATTTTATTTTATTAAGGATACATTAAAGATTATTACCCTAAATTTTTATTAAAAAATATTTAATTATTACAAAGTTATTAACAATCTCGTAGATCACTTGAAAAAATTTCCCCCTCCATGGTCGGTTCCATAACTCAAAAACGGATCATCTGAAAATAAAAACCCAAATTGCTTTTTAATCAGTAAGGATGTAGTTATCATCGCACGTACGGAATTAAAAAAATTTTTATTTTAAAGATTTTTTTAGACGAGTTAAAACAAAAAAAAAAAAAACAGTAAGAGTAGTGAAAAAATTTTCAATCAGTCGCCATTTTTGTTTAAATTAAAATTTTCAAAATTTCGTAGGTGCGACGATAACTACATCTTTACTGATTAAAAAGCAATTTGGGTTTTTATTTTCAGATGATCCGTTTTTGAGTTATCGAACCGACCATGGAGGGGGAAATTTTTTCAAGTGCTCTACGAGATTGTTAATAACTTTATAATAATTAAAAATTTCTTAATAAAAATTCAGGGTAATAATCTTTAATGTAGCCTTAACAAAATAAAAAAAATCCGATCCCCAAATTCCTTTATTTTCCCTGTCGAAAAAATTCCCGAAAATCACCTCTTTTTTTCGATCGTCAGTGGTGTTCCCCCTTAATAAGCCAATTAACCAGTCAACTGTTTGACTGATTTAATTGTCTAACTGGCTATTGGGATCCGTGGGAGAGGTGTGGCTTAATTTTTGGCCGTCTGGTGGTTAAAAAATAAACTAGCGATTGTAGGATTCTGGATACAACTGATGCTTGTAAATAAACGTGTAGATAGGATATAAAATTAAATTAAAAATTGCGTGTGACCAAAATTTAATTAAAAATGCGTGTAAACTTACAAGAAATTTGTAAATTTACTTCAGCTACAGCTGCTAGTAAGAATTTTATTGATGGAGAAAATATTATTGATTGTGGTCATTTATTGAATTGTGGGAAAGTGAATCATAGTGATGACAGTGATGTTTATCATATCCTTGCTTTTTGCTTACAAACAGCTGATTTAAGAAATTAACCTCATGAAATAAATGCTCAATTCTCAAAGAACGGAAAAATAATTGGTATGGAATGCTTTTGCAAGGCTGGATTGGGAAGTACTTGCAAACATATTGTGGTAGTACTTTTATTTTGTAATCGGTAATTATGACTTTATCTTTCTTTCTTGTTAATCAATAAACTCTAAAATTATTAAATATTTATTAAATTATTGATTCTATTATTCTGTACTTACAGAAATAACTTTGAAGATTTCAAAGATATTACGTGTACAGATAAGAAATGTGCCTGGAATGCACCTTATAAATCAGCTCTTGAAAAATATGAGGCGAAGCTTTTATTTGAACACAAATGTATTGAAGAAAAGCAAAAAAAAAGATGAAGATAAAGTTAAAATGAAGAAATCTATCAGATCACTCTAAGGCAAATACGTCACTCCAAAAGAAGCTGCTACTGATCCTCCAGTATGTTTAAGCATGGGTTTAACTGAATTAGATGAAGCAGAATATGAAGAATTTCTTAAAATAATGGTGGAAGAAAATTCTTCATCAGCTTCAGCAAAACATTTTTATTTTCAAATACGTCACTCCAAAAGAAGCTGCTACTGATCCTCCAGTATGTTTAAGCATGGGTTTATCTGAATTAGATGAAGCAGAATATGAAGAATTTCTTAAAATAATGGTGGAAGAAAATTCTTCATCAGCTTCAGCAAAACATTTTTATTTTAATTAATTTTTTTATTGATGTTTTTTTTTTTTTGTAAATAGTTTACATTATCAATTTTATATTTGACTCCGAAATGATTTTTTTTTTTGTAAATAGTTTACACCATCAATTCTTTATTTTTATGTGGAGAAAATTCCATTTTTATAATTATATTGATGTACGTATATTAATTTTTTATAAATGTATGATTACGAAATTCACTTTTTGTATTGCTTATTTTTTTTTTTTTTTTTTTAATAAAAATTACACTGTATTTTGCTATTTTATTGATATTAACATTGTGTTAATTTAAACATGATTCTATCCTACAATCGCTAGTTTGAATTTAAACCACCAGGCGGCGTATTTAAATCCTCAGTTTCCCAATAAAATTTAACTAATTAATTCGGATTAGTGAATTGGCAGACGAAATGATTAACCAGGTTTAACTTTATAGCCGATTTGGTCTATCAAATTGTACATCACTAATTATTACTACGACAATTGTAAATATAAAACAAGATAGTAATTTTTACTTATTTGACTAATTTTCGCATTAAAGTGTAACTTTTTATTAAATGTTCTATTGATTTAATCAGTATAATTGATTTTGATATAATTTTATAATTCTGTGTTTATTGGTAATCTGTAATTAAGCATAGTTAAATATAAATTTCATTGCATAATCAGATAATATCTTAATTTTGATAATTTGCTCGAAGATTTCAAAATGCTACTCGTAAAGAAAGAAGATAGTAAGTAACTATTGGGAAACTTTAGAACTTTGATACGCCAACTAGTGGTTCAAAGTGTAACTACTCAAGGTAGGGTAATTTTGTGTACATGTGTACATGTGTTGCCTACTTTTGCCTACTTTGAGTAGTTCATTTTTAAACACCAGAGGTCTAATACCTAAGCCACGCCCATCCTAAGGATCCCAATAACTTACAACAAATTATTATTAAATAATATCTTAAGTTTTTTAAGTTCATTCATTAATATTATAAGTTTTTATTGACTATAATTATATTAAATATGATAGATTTTTTAATGTTATAACAACAATAATAATAATAATAATAATTGATAACATCCAAATAATTATTTTTTTATCTTTTCAATTTTAAATTAAATTGTGTAAAAATGTGATATGTTCGTATACTCTCATACCGAAAATAGTTAATCTTTCTTTAAAAAATTTTTTTTTATTAAGAGCAGCCAGTTACATAAATAAAGAAGCGGCATATCTAGAAGAACGGTTAATTATGTATTTCAAACGGGAAAATTTTTATTATGTTTTTATATGCATAACTTTCATGATAGTGATAAAAATAATTGAAGTGCATATTTTTATAGAAATATTCACATTTAAAAAAAATGCGTTCTACTCTAGTTACTGAATTGAATCTCTTAGGGTAGTCATTTAAAAATTTTGTTTAAATTTAATCTTCAGATTTTTTTGATATTTTAACTTTAATAGATGTTGTTTTTTTTTTTTTTTAATTAATTCATTGAGTAATTAGTGTCAATTAATATTATAGTATCTACAAATAAAAAAAAATTTTATTTAAAAATACTAAAATTTATAATAATTCAATTTTTCAATTTTACGTATTTATGATATAAATTATTTTTGTATGAAGGAAAAATTTTTATGAAATATTTATGAAAATTGACCTATGAAAAGTATTTGGTAACTTTTAAATCATTAGTTACTCCTAAGCAGTTCAATTGATTCTAAGCAAAAAACTGATTCTGTAGAAAATGATTTTTTGTTAAAAATTATCTAATTATTCTCATTAGCTTTGATAAGCAAAATATTTAGATAAAAATAAAAGAATAAGTATTTCTTATTAAAACAAAGATGATGAATCATATCTTCGGATGCGGTCCTTCTGTATTAATCTTACATAATTGTGTGTTTAAAAAATATTTGTTTTACATCAAAGACTAGCTATTTTAATTAAAGATGGAAATAAGAAAAATAACTAGTATGTTTTTACTAGTCTAATGAAGAATAAAAAATAACGCTGATTATAAATAAATAAAATATGATTGAATAATTATGTAAGAAGTAAATACCTGTTCTTCAGGGTCATCGTATTCAACAACTTGTATAATTTCCCCAACGTCGAATGATAATTCATCCATATCTTCACGACCATACTTGTAAGTAGCCTTGACCCTGTACAAAACGCCAGCTGGCAAGTTTTCAGTAGTAGCTCCTATAGAAAAATTTGTACCATTTTCATATTCCACGTCTAAAAAATTTTTTAATTCACGTTATTAGCGATGGACCTGTGATCTGAGTTGTTTTTTAAACCCATCAGTTTCATTGAAACGTTTGTGTAATTATTAATTACAATTACAATTACATAAATCAACAGTAACCAATTACACGAAATGAGCATGCTTTATGCTAATTTAACCATTTAAGACAAAAGTTTACTCTCTCAAATGATTTAAAACTCACGAGCAATACAATTAACAATTAATAATTAATAATAAAATAAAATAAAAATCAATAAAACACAGCAAAACAACAATGATACGCTGAAGCATAGGTCCTTCACTAATTGACGATTATATAATCTTGATATTCTTGATTTTCTGATGATTACAAGCTCATCAGCCCATCATCATTTTTTTTTTAACTCATTTAATGCTTACCCACTGGTATATCATACAATTCTTCAACACGTTTAACAGGCACTACTGAGCTTTGTGGTGATACATCTTGACTATTCACTGAATTATCATTGCTGTTAGCATTACTATTTGCATTGCCGTTCAATTGAATTGTAGGCGATGAATTTCGTTTCTCGATTGTCTTCGTTTCGAGAGCTGCAACACGCCACAAACAACACTCGAAAAATTCCACAAAAATGTTAAAGAAGTCATTTTTTAAGTCCCATTAATGTGAATATTGTTATTATTACTATTTTGTTAGTTTACCAAAACTTATATTACACGGAAAATAGGTATTAGATACAGACATTGATTTATAAAGTTTAACGACAAAAATTTACAACAACTATTTGAAAAAAATTAATAATTTGAAATATTTCTTTGAAAAAATTTATTTTACACATCTTTGTGTGATTACCTATATTGAATTTTTTAATTTGAGATATAACAAAAAATTATTCAACTCAACTGATTTTATTGAATAGTATAATCTCTATGACATGAATAAAAATCAAATATTAAATAGATCAAAACATTTTAATAAATACTATTAAAAATTCACTTCATTTTCGAATTTGAAAAAAAAAAAATTCTTTTATGAATTTGATAAACAAAAAGATCAATAAATCTATGAAAGAAAAAAGTGTTTATCATGATTTAACTATGGTTTAGGCGAACTTTGTAAAAAATCAACTATTTTTGCCACAACAACCAAAAATTTATGTTCTTCAAAGATATTTACTGAGACAATTCGGTACAATCAAAAGTAATCTACCAATTTTTTGGAAAAAATAATCACAGTACGCACGTGAAATTGTCAAAAAAATAGATTTTTGTACAGATGTTTATTTTCTATACTTCTAGAAAGTATGAAAAAAATTTCAAAGAATGTTTTTGAAAATATTTTTTTTTATTTTTGTTATTAATTTTTATATAGTCTGAGAGATTTTAAAACTTTTTTGTTTAATAATTCAATACAAATTTTCATTACTCTAATAAAATCGACCGATTCTAAATATATTTATAACTTTTATGATGTGTTAATGGCATAATTCAAAAATATTGTAACTTCTACTCAAGGTCATTTGATATTTTTACAACGATTGAGTTATTAATCAACTTCTATAGCTTAATTTTGAAACACTAAGCTAAAAATATTTTTAAAATCGTTTAAAAATGAAAGCTTGCTTTTTTGTGACATACCCAATTTGAGATTATTCAACAGAAAATTAGATGTTCTGATTAAAATATAGATATGAAGTAAACGCGGATAGATTTCTTTAGATTAAACTAGATGTGACCGACTATAGTTATTAGACGATTAGATGATTTAACAATTTAAATTCTAGTTCTTAAAAGTTAAAATAATTTTTATTCCTTCATAATATTCGCTCAAACCTCTTCAAGTATATAGAAAAATTTGAGAATCAATTTTATAAATTAACAGTAATTATTAATTATATAAACAGTTACATATTAAAGGGGAGAGAAGGATTGATTTGGAGTAATTCTCTTAGAATTATCTTGCAATATATTAAACCTTAATTAGACCAACAATTGGAATCATTATGAGGATTTAATTTTTAAATTTAATAATAAAATGTCAATTATTACTTCTCAGTAAATCTACACTGACAAAAAAATTGACTTGACTCAAGAGCCAAACTCTTGAACCAAGAATTCCATTTTGAAGAAAAATGTTTTCTTGAGTCAAGAGAATAAATTTTTGACTCAAGAAAATTTTCTTAGACCAAGAATAATTTCTTAGCGCAAGAATTTATTCTCTTGACTCAAGAATATCATTTTTTTCAAAATGGTATTCTTGGTTCAAGAGTTTGGCTCTTGAGTCAAGTCAATTTTTTTATCAGTGTACTATAAATAGTTGAAATATAAGAAATATTTCAAACGCAGAATAATTTATAACAATTGGAAATGTATTTTACTAAATTTTTTTTTTCCGTGCATTGCTTGTCATTATTATGTAGCACATGCTGGTTAATAGAAAATATATTACGCATTTCTTTAAAATAACATGAAACGCTCGAAATAGATAAAAAGTGAAAATTTACCAGGTGAAATATTGTTTTGAGATGGTGCTTGCGTGTTGATTATCAAACTGAAATGAAATAATATCATGATTAATTAATTAATAAATAAAATAAATAAATAATGATTTTATATAATGATTGTATGAAAAAAAAATAGAAAGGAAACTTACGAAGAGTTTGCGTTTGGAGATTTTGGTGATTGTGGCTCTGAGTTTTTTTTCAATGTATAAGAACCTCTTTGACTATCGTTTGCAAGCTTATCAACGATCGCTTCTAATTCTGAGTAAACCTAATAAAAATAGAAAACAATTGGCTTTTAATTAAATCAATTTTCTATACATTATCAATATTTCTTACTGAATGCTTGAATAATGATAACAACGATTGTTTATACCTTGGCACTTTCCACGTGAAATACTTGTTCAGCCGCAAAGAGAGTCTGCAAATTGGTGACGAGGAAGAGTACACGTGAATCATAAAGCGCTGGCAATTCATCATGAAGCTCTGAATTAAGTTGCTCGTAAGTTCGTTTAGCCTCATCCAATAATTCTTTAGCTTTCATCACTTTAGTCTCGTCACGCTTCTTTGGATTGCATTGTAATGATTGAAAGTTGTGTCTTTGACCGTCGTAATCTACCAATTTACGGCCACGTTTGTCAATTTTTTTCTACCAATTAAATTTTTGAAATATTATATTATTAACACAATTCAATTATTTAAGTATTAATGTCAAATAAATTAATTTAAATTTTTATCTTACTAAATTTTTTTTTTTTTAAATAGAAGTATGTACTGAACAAACATTGAAATAATGAAAAAACTACGTAGTAAAGTTATTTTTTGTAGTCAAGGAATAATTTTTTTAAAATTGATAAATTAATTGAAATAAATTATAAATTTGTTTTCATTGCACTGAAAAAATTTACTTCATTCCAAAAAAATATTTTTTTTCATAATTTTACTCTGGTATCAAAATATTAAATTTTCTTAGTTAAAAAATTATTTCTTCAACAAATAAATGGAGTTTTTTGCATGAGCAAAAAATTTTTAGAAAAATTCTGTTCTAATAAAGCACTTTATTGTATTGTTTTTAGATAAGACACATATGTTATTCGTCTAAAAATTACTTTTCCTTGAAAAAGATAAACAGCAGTTTTCAGATTTCTGCTACTTTCAGTACCAAAAAGAGTCTAAAAAAATACGTCCTACCATATGTTAAAGTTAAAACTTTGTTTTTTATAGATTTTGTTTGATAAAATTGAAAGCTTATGTAGCATTATATTTATTCACTCTATAAGACAATTACTAATTATTTAGAATAATTATAATATTCTAGAAAATATTTCTTTTGCTTTTTTTCAAAATAATTTCTTCGTTCTTTTCTATTATCAAATTATATACTTTGAAGTGCCATATTTTTTAATTTTCTTTTGAAGATAAATATATATTGTGTCACATCTGGAATTTAAAAATTTGCCACAACTTGGACAACAAGATTGAACGTTCATCTAAAGATCTAAAGGTTACAAAAATAATCTTCATGTTTGTACATAACCTTTAATAAGATAAGCTTGTTTCGCATGGATAATAAAAATTGATGTTTTCAACAAGAATAATTAATAGCTAAATAATACAATTATCTTACCCGCATTTCCGGAAATTGACATTGATATGTATTAAGAGGCACAAGGACCTGATCCGCAAGTTTATGAGTAAAATCTTGCCATAGCACATCTAAACTTTGTGCTTGAACGTACAATAAATCGTGGCCAGTCCATTGGCTTTCATAAATCTCATTAAGGGAATCCATAAGGGTTTTAGACGCTGCTTGAACAGCTGCAAATACAAAACAAAACAAGAATAATTAATATTATTTTGTTACTGTGATGATGATGATAATAGTTGCTATTATTTTACTTGCTTAACTACGTAACCTTTGGCTGAAGTGAAATGTCACGATATACGGTTTACAGCTTCAGAGACTCTTCAACAAATATTTACAAATTCTTATGTGTTACATAACAACATAAGTTTCTAGATAATTATTTATCATCCTAAATTTTTTTGAATGATACTAAAGAAAATAAAATGACGGAAAATGATTTTCAAGTATTTTCAGTTTAATATGTTGTATGGTTTCTGTTTAACAATTCATTTACATTTTATCGGAACAGAATCATTAATTTGACCTACATTGACACTATTGAAAGTGCATTCACTCTTGACGTTTACAATGAAAATATCGAAGGTGGTCATGAAAAAAAAAAAAAAAAAAAAAACGAAAGAAAGAAATTATAATATATAATACTTGAGTATCACGTCGGAAAAGTTACAGTATACTCAGGAATACATAAAGCATCTGCGGGTAATAAAGCTTAGCTAAGGGATAATATTATTTATATTTAACTAAGTAAAAAATACCTAATTTAATCAATAACTTTTAATTTTAATCATTACTTAAGTTAATTTTCTATAAAATATAATTAAAAGCAGTGACTTCTACACTGGTAAAAATTTGATTCAAGAGAAAAACTCTTGAAACAAGAAAATCATTTTTAAGAGTTTGGTCGTTTTGAATAAAGACGAAAAGTTTTTGAACCGAATAATTTTTAATTTGAATAAAAAAAAATTTAGAAAACGGTTGACCCTAAAGGCCATCCCTACAACTTCCCGCTAACTCCATACCTAAACGCTTAACATTTCACTTATTTTGTTTTTGAGCTCTTCGAGGTCGCAATAACTTTTGAATGAATGAACCGATTTTTACGCGGTTGGTGGCATTCGACGCAGTTTTTGAAACCTCATAACGGATTTTTAAGTTTAAATTGATCGAACGAGGAATTTCGAAGTAATTCCAATAAAACACTTTTTTTGAAATTTTTCGTTTTATCTTCTATAATTGCTTTTCGTTTTTTTTTTTTGATTTCTCGGAATCTACCAGTCCAAACCGGTTCAAAATCACAGGAAATCTAAGTTTGAAAATCTAACTCTTTAAAACGCCACTAGTTTGGTTCCAATCGGTCAAATTGTTCAAAAGTTATAAGCAGTTTACATACGACCACACACACACACACACACACACACACCATCGCAGAAACATTCGGGGAAGCTTTTTAGAACTTCAAAACAACATCTGTTAGAAACTCGATTTTCGAAAAACGGGGTAAAACCAATAACTTCCCAACTTTTGAAAAGTTTCAATTTTCCTACCGGGAAGTTAAAAATTTTTTAATTATGCAAAAAAAAAAAATGTATTCGACAATCAAACAATTATTCGACTGATGAACTCAATACTGGTTTAGTTTGAGTATTCCCATCACGACCTAATGAGGTCATGGTGACGCAAGGTTGCTCGCCCACCTTCTTTATCATATGTATAGGTATATACGTATGTATATATGCATGTATGTCTTTGTCGATATAGTGGTACATAGTCGACTCGTATTTCACGCGGATGTGTTAATTTAAGTTTTACTCTATTAATACAGACTCTTTGCTATGAGCTATGAGTGAACACATCATCATGTATCTTCTTATTCTCTTTACTTATTTCATAAATTAGGTTTTACTTATAACTTATAACCCTATTGTGTTATACTGTAGTGAACCTATTGATCACATGATGTTTAATCTTAAGGTTGTGTTCCTTTTTTGTTATTTATATAATTCAGTATTTTAACTTCACACTAATAAAATTAAAAAAAGTTTGGAAAATCCAAAAGAGCACCCCTCATAATCTTATTTTTCACAATTAAATTGATTGCTCGATTGCTAACTTAAAACAAAATTGCATATTTAGGTATAATTAGGCAGAAGTGGGGCTCCACTTATTTTTGAATATAAAACATCGAAAAATTGATCTTTTTGAATATTTATTCTTTTCAAATTGTTCTTCTTCACGGTGGATTTATGATAAAATTGATGAAAAATATGAAAATGGAATAATTTGATGTTTTTTTTTTTTCATTTGAAAGTTCAGAATTTACGATTTTAAGTGTTTTTCAATGAAATGTTGACGATGCGATTTTTCCGATAATCGAAATTTATTTTCTTAAAGAGCAATAAAAATAGAATAAATTAGAAAAAAAAAATTCAGAATATCATAATTTGAAAATTTTTTACAGCAGTTTCTATGCATACAAAAGTTCGTGATCCAGGAATTCAGGATCTCTATTCAAATAAACTTTACTCAATTGAAGATCAAAAGAAATTGTTCAAAATGTTCTTATTGGTTCAAGATGTTTTTTTTTTAAAGCCAAAAGTTAATTTCTCTATTAGTTTATAAAAATGACCAGTCACACAATTTAAACTGTAAAATAAAAATAATTACCATTTTGAACATTTATCTAAAAGACATTAAAATTTAATTCTATTTTTTACATATAATTGAAGTAATGTTAAGTAAGTTTATAACTTTTTTTGTTTAATAAAATTGTAATCTTAAAATATTTGATATATATAAGAATTCATAATATTCATTTTGCTGCCTATAAATTTGTTGCTTATTCAATTTATTTACAGATACGAGACTTGATGATATGAAATCTTACTTCACAACTGAAACAAAGCTTACCTTAACTAGATAAGGGTGCCTCTAACCAGATATTACATAATTATATCATCTCTTCTTTTTTATGACGATAGTTGTAAAACAGTTAACTAAATCGGGTGTAACAACCTCTGTATTCTTTTATAAAAACATTGCAAATAATACAAGTAATTAAATGTAAGTTCTTTTTTACAATACAAGTTTATATGATAACAATTATTGATGAATGATATAATTTGTTAATTAAAATAAATTATAAGTATTTATTGTGCGATGCTGAATAACTTACCCCTAACACATCTGATGTAATTATTGAATTCTTTTTGAAGTCTGTTTGCTGCATTCTGTTGGCGTGTAAAGTTTTGAAGATGCTCGTCAAATATGTCATCTGCCGTCCTATCTACTTTGCCAAGGTTTTGAAGAAACTGAAAAAATACAATAAAATATATTATAATTTGATTGAAATGTTTCCGAATCAACTTATTTACTATTTCAATTGTAGTTTTAATTTTCAAAACATTGAATATAAAATTTGTTGCATATTATAATTTTTATTAAATTAATCTAGACTAAATTTTTTGTCTATTCACTAGTGAAAAACGTATAACAATTTTATTTTTTTTTATTTATTATTACACCTTTCTCTTAAAAGTAATTTAGGATGAAAAGTACAATTATTAATGATGGAAAACTAAAAAGTTATGATCTTTTATTGATTAAGAAAGTTTGTAATCATGTTTTGGGAGAAAAAAATTTAATGAATTTTTATGAATGAAAGATCAAAGTAGATCATGTATTAATAATCTTGTCTACGAACAACAACAAATACTAAATAAAGGAAAATTGTAATTAAAAAAAAGAAAGCCTGAAAACAAGCGTAAAATTAAAAAATATATTAATATTATTATTATTATAAGATCATTTACAAAAAAGTAATTTATGAGGATAAATTAATTATCTTTTCATAAGGCTGGCAATAGCCGAGTCGGCTCGGTGCCCACATTTCGAAGAAGAAGGACCTGAGTTCGATCTCGGCACGCACCAATATTTTTCAGTGGATCCTATATACTAAAATTGATGGTAAAATGAAGTTAGCTTAGTATCGAAAACATGGACCCTGATTTCTTATTGGTTAAGATTAAGGCGCGCGCGTAGCGCGCTATTCAAATTTCTAGTTATAAATAAAAAATATGTGCGCTACGTTGCCAGGCCTCTGTACCGGCCGGGTTTTCTGTGGTTTTCCCATATAATTATGGAAGGTAAAAATGTCATTATAGAAGTACCTTCCATACTATTTAAGGCCGTAATGCAAATGCAGGTACTGATTATAACGCGTAAGTCGGCCACAGTTACAGTACCGTGAGTATGTGTGTCGGGCATGAAAAATCCCGACATGCAGGGGGGTGGGGACGAAAAAGGTAGTGATAATAATGGAAGTTAGTGAATACAGAGTAGAGTTGGAAAAATGTATGTAAAAACAAGGGAAGTGATAATAATACCCCACCCTCCCTTGTAAAACACTTAGTCCATGTGATACAAGTAAAACCTCCATTATTATTATTATTATTAATTATCTTTTCATATACTTGAAAAATTATTGTCTCATATACTGTTTGTTTGTTGATTGATTATTATATTAAACTCAAACTAAATTTTCCTCTTTTTTTCTTTCAATTATTACACTTTATACAGAATCTTAATTATTTATTTCTTATTTGTTGAACATGTTGACGCAAGTATAGTTTATTTTATTATGATTGATTTATATTTCATCGAAGAAATATCAAAATTTGCCTCATTAATTGTCTATCTGGTGAATAATCCTGCTCTCGTAAAAGAACATAGCAATGTTGAATCACATTTTATAGTTCAATATAATCAATTATTTATTTTATAAGATAAACCATGCATAAAGAACGAATTTTTATGTATAACTAAAATCAGTTGATTGGTATTAAATTGAATTTTGGAATACATGTTTTATATCGAATGTACACATATTATGTGAGCATACGTATAATTGCGTGTACCGTGGTGTAGCATATGTATAGCGAGGACGTGTATGCGATAAATCACCCCAGTCATTTCCTGGTCCCGAGAAAATTCAAAAATAGACAAACCGTAGAAAATATAAGTATGTGGCCAACTTACTTTTAGTTGAGAACTATCTTACGTTATTAAGATCGAAATGTTTCAAGGAATATTTGATTTACAAAATTTTCATTAGTCATTATTTGCTCTTCAATGGTTTTTATGAATGAGTGTAAGCAAAATTTCGTCTTTAAAAATTATGAAGTATCAATCAATAAGAATAAAAAAAAATTTTTTTTAATTGATTTATAACTGGATTATTAGTTTGTAAAAGTTTATTTTATTGTATATATAATAATAATGATTTTATATGTATATACATGGATATAACTCAATTGTAGTCATAAATCACAAATAAGATCGAAGTGATAACAGTGTCTTGAACTCTTTATCATTTCTATATACATAAATTCGACATTTACATCTTGTTTTTCAATGTTTTGTTTTAAACGTTGGTTAATGCATTAATGGGTAAAATTAAAAATTTTTTAGACCTAGTGAATTTTATATATAATCAAGAAATATATACAACATCTTAACTAAGTATCATTGTAACTTCAATCTCATTGACCTTTAATTTAAAGGTACGAGAAAGTTAAAACGTGCAATATCAATACCCGCAGAAAAGCCCGTGGATACTGATTAAGTTAACCAATTATTTTTTTCAACTTACAATTTATAACATTTATTTGTTAGCATTAATACAAAAGTAAAAATTATGAGAAAACTGAATAAATATAAATAGAGAAAACCAAACTGCTGATCTAATTATATCAGAAATTCTGATTTACACAAATCTTTCGTGTACTTTCGAAAAAAAAAGTTAATGAAAATCACTGTAAAGTAGCACAGTTTACAAAAACGTGTTAGGATATTTAAATTTTTGATTTGCTAAACCTAAAAAAATAAGATGAAGTCCCGAAATTTCTATTTTAAAAAAACTCGACGTGTACGGGAACCGAACCGTGGGCCTAACGTTTGAGAGACCAATTCACTACCTGTTTACCTAAGAGACTTAATTGAATAGTTACGTTTGTAATAACTACAGGTTATCATGTATAAAGTTTTTGTTCAATTATATATAATTCTATGTAATCATGTATAATTTCATATAATTATATGTAGTTTTTTTATCCGGGGAGCCATAATAGATAAAAATTAATTTTTTTCTTTACAAAATCATGATTTTAAATTGACTATAAAGTGAAAATTAAAAAGAAAATAAAAATTATAAAATTAAATAGTTAAAAATGTTAAAATACCCTAGTTGTGAGTTAAAAATAATTTTATTCAGGTTTAAAATTTTGTAATTATTTGAAATCTAATTATTGTATTGAAGAGAATGCTATGGTTTTTATTTTTCTTTTTTACCAGTTCTTAAAATGCATTTGAAAAAATAATGACGTTGAAATGGATAACATTATCTCTATTTTTGTTGTATTAGTAGAATAGTGATTACTTATTTGATGGATTTTTTTCCCAATTGATAACTTATATATTATATTGGTCAAAGTTAAAAATTTATATGAACGTTTCTTTTATTAGATGTAAGATAACTTTAGAAAAATCAATTATTTGTCATAGGTTGTCCCACTATACATGTATAGATTGGAAAATGATGTATTAGATGTCGAAAGACTACACCAAAAAAAAAAATTGTTGTGGGTGTTAACCGTTTTAAGGTTGAGATAATAAATAAAAATGTAAATTTTTTTATCTAAGCTTCACTCTTGAATTGAATAAAGAATATTTCATTGTATAATATGACTGTGGTTATTTTATAAAATATTATTAATTTTAGAGAAAAATAAATTAAATATAACAAAAAATTTGTCCGAGTGAAGAGTTTTTTTAAATTTTGTTCAATCATAGTTTTTAAAATTCCTAAAAAAACATAACTTAGCTTTAAGTTTCAACAAATAGTGTTTGAAATAAAAATAGTTTCTTCAAAGTCATTTGAACTCATCTGTCGTGTTTCAAAATCTAATTGACTAACTTATTTTTAAGTTTTTTTTGTTATTGAGAAATAAATTTGGTTGGTTATTAGTTTTATAGGACGAATTTAAACAAGAAATAAAGTATGATTATTTTAAACCCCATCGATAAGTGATATCACTTAGTTAGAAAATAGAAAATGTATCACAATAATCAACAGTTTCCAAATCAACTTATTGCCCTCAAAATAATTTCATATATCATAAATTTTTTTTAATTGTTAAAAGATTATAACTATGGTATTGATATGTTTTTCTTCAATTGCTTACACTGTATTTTTATGCATACTTAAAAATAACAAGTAAATTGATAAAAAGTAATCGTAAGACTATTGAATACTCTAAATTACATTATAAATACTATAAAAATGTACTATACAAATTTTTCACTAAATTTTACCATCAACACATAGTATTGATAAATTACAAGAAAATTATCAAGAAATTTTCATTGAAATTTTAAGAAAAGAATTTCGTTAAAAACTTAACAGTCGCGCAGTTAAAAATATACATCTAATTTATTTCTGATTTGAAATTGTTCAAGTTGATCAGTAAGATATAAAGTCCAAAGTTTTTTTTAATAATCTAAGCCATCATTAATTTTATCATTTTCATCTAGATTTAATTATAACCATAGTATAAATAACATAAAATGAATAACTCAAGAGACGTTGTTGTTTGGTATTACCGATTCTTCTTTTTCCTCTAAGCGCAAGATAACAACCTGATGTATAATCAGAATCTAGCCCGTAATCATTACTACACTGATAAAAAAAATCACTCAAGAGAAAAAATCTTGACCCAAGAATACCAATTCGAAGAAAAGAAGCTTCTTGCATCAAGAAGAAAAATTCTTGAGTCAAGAAATTATTCTTGATTTAGGTAAATTTTTCTTGTCTCAAGAATTTTTTCTCTTGACTCAAGAAAATCATTTTCTTCAAAATGGTATACTCAGTTCAAGATTTTCTTTCTTAAATGAAGTTAACTTTTTTATTAGAATATAATGTATTTCGAACTATATACTCATACCAGTACTAACTTAATATTTATGACAATTGTCTTTGCAGCATATAATAATTGAATCCATTGATGAGTGATGGTAATGAAGAAAAAATAAAGAGCGATTTATATAAAAAAGAAAAAAAGATAACTCTCGCGAGATTCTTTCTTATATTACTTATAGGTGTAAGTTATGGTAAATGCTTAACGGGACATAGCTACGTGTTGTGAGAATAAAAACAAATATCACCTCTTTTATACATATCTTTATATATATATATATATATATATATATATATATATATATATATATATATTTCTTCTGCGCGAGTATTCGTCTC